TGTGACTTGTCGTTGTAATATATTGTGATTTGTGGTTCACAATTATGGTTGTGATATATTGTGAGAAAATGGGTTCTGTGTGATATATATATGTGATGGTTGATATATATATGTATATATGAAATGCTTGTGTCGATGGAATGCAAAAAACAAAAAAAAATTAAATTTCTGCCTCTTTGCCGAGGGCAATGACCAAGGCCCTCGGCAAAGAAGAGTCCTTTGCCGAGGACCGTCCCATTGCCCTCGGCAAAGATTCATTGGAGAAATTCTGAAACATTTCTTTGCCGAGGGCCATGGTTGAAGGCCCTCGGCAAAGATTTTTTTAAAAAAATTAAAATTTCTTTGCCGAGGGCTCCCGCAGGCCCTTGGCAAAGATTTTTCAAAAAAAAATTCTTTGCCGAGGGCCGTCCCATTGTCCTCGGCAAAGATTTTTTAGAAAAATTCTGCAACATTTCTTTGCCGAGGGCCATGGTTGGAGGCCTTCGGCAAAGATTTTTCAAAAAAAAAAGAATAATTCTTTGCCGAGGGCCTCCGGAGACGGCCCTCGGCAAAGACTCCGTCCCATGCGCCGGCGCCGTGACGGTTGCTTTTCTTTGTCGAGTGTCAGTTCAGCCCTCGGCAAAGGCTTTGCCGAGTGCCCGATAAAGGATCCTCGGCAAAGACCCTCTTCGCCAACTCAAAATTCCCCGAGAGCTCTTTGCCGAAGGCCGCCCTCAGCAAAGCCTTTGCCGAGGGTTAATGGGCCAAAGAGGCCGTCTCCAGTAGTGTCTTATATAGAGTTGACAATGGAAAGACCCTTTTTACTTGGTTACTCCTATTCAAACTTGGTCTTGTTATGCTTTTGGGAGCAACAAGAACGGAAGCCAGCCTCAAGTGACTGGCAGTCAGGGGCCTGCAATAGCCAGCCGCCTGCAGTAATAGGTTAGTGTTGGTCAATCCAACCACTGAGTCACTGACAGCAATAGCATCGATCTCTAATGTGTAGCTAGGTGATCTACCTTTTCCAGATTTGAGCATTCGAATTCTGATTAGCATTAGCATCTAGAAATAGAGATAATCAGTGAGAAATTGTTATTTGTCGACTTCTGTGATCAGATCTTAAGTCTTGCAATATTTATCCTACATCAATTCTATCTAAAGATATAGAGTGTTGTCTGAAGGAGCTGTAGTCAAGCTGCATTTTCAAAGTTTTGTTTTTAACTTCCTGGTGACCAGCAAAGAGTTTCTTGAATAATAGTTGCATCGGTTTTCCATTTTCAAAGTTTCCTGAACTTCCTGGTCCAACTGGTCTATCTACATTTTTAGGTTCTGCATTTTCAATGTAATTCAAATAGGATATGGTATTCATTTCTTCATATAATTTAGAGTTTTCTAGATTCACAGTTCAAAGTTTACTAGCAAGGTGTCACGGTTCAGTCCTTAGGTTTCGGTTGTTTTCCCATTGCAACGCACGTTGTGACTATTTTTCCATTGCAACGCACGAGTATAATCTCTCTGCAGAGGTAATGGATGTTGGAGATTTCTTTCTACCGATGTAAAACATTATCTTAGCTGCATCATAAAAAGGTCTATACACTATAGTTATGAGCCTGTGATGCCGTGCTCTCCATAACTATGTTAATTTCACAAATTTTGTTTTTTTTATTAAATATCACTTTAACGTCGGTATTTAACTATCTTACCTTGCGATATGTGTATTTTTAGTATAAAAGTTTAGCTGTTCTGTAGTAAAGCACAGGCACGAACCCAGTGAATAAAAGAAGTGAAATAGAAATCAGCTAACTGCTAACGGAAAATTACACCAAAGAGCCACAATAACTGCAAGCCCCGGCTCAATAATTGTAATTAATTGACATACCGAGGAGTCACAATACGTTTGCATGCATGGTTCCCTGTGTGCCAGCTAGTGTAGTAGGGTCCTACGTTTTGTCGCATAGCATAGCAGTCCCAGGTGGTTCGCTCTGGCTCAGCTTGCATGTCTAAGACTGTGCTCCAACGGTCCGGATTTTATGATTTAGGTAGCGCATAGCGAAAGAATCATGGATCCAAAAACTTCCCTTTTCCAATAGCCGACGCAAATGAGAAGCTCCCGTCGCCTCCCTTCCTCTTTCTCTCCCTCTCCCTCTTTCTCCCGAGGTGGCGGCGCTGCTGCGGGTCCCGAAAACGGCGACCTCCCTACGCTGCGCGTGGCCGTGGGCCCCGGCGGCGGGCAAGCCGCCTCTCTCTCTGCCCCCTCTCCCGGTGTGCAGGCGCATCGTACGGGCCCGCCGCGCTGGCCGTCCTCCGGCGAGGTGGCGCGCCGCGGCAGCGGTGGCGCAACGTGGGCGGCCCCCCTCTCCTCTCCCTCTCCCTCCGTCTCGATCTACCACCCAGCCGTGGCGCGGCCGGTCAGGCAGCGGCGGCAGAGGCATGGCCTTGCAGGCCGGTCGTCCTCATCTTTCCCCCTCTCCCTCTCTCCTGCTATGGCGCTCATGGTGCTCGTGCCCGGTGCCGGTGGGTCTCGGTGGTGCCGCGGTTGGCACAGAGCAGTCTCAAGTGCTCCCGTTTCCTCTTGTATTTTGGGATTTTGCTTTTGCCTCTCTGATTCGTCCCTCCGATGACTTTGATTCGTGTTCTAGGGTTTGGGATTTTGTTTTTGCCTCTCTGATTCGTCCCTTCGATGACTTCTGATTCGTCCCTTCGCGGCGCGAGATCTGGCGAGGCGCGGTGCCATCGGGATCAGTGGACGCCGCCCTTGTCTCCGTCGCCTTTCTCGCAAGCGCCGTCGCCGTTGTCTGGGTAGCAGCCAGGCGTGGAGACGCAGAAGGACGGAGAGATTATTTGCGCCCCACGTCGGCTCACACCCAAAATGGGTCACTCGTTTGCCTGGTGTGTTGGAGCTCGATTTTTGCCGATAAAACACCGTGAACAACCCATTTTGGATTTGGGTCACGCTATGCCTGCTCTGTTGGAGTCAGTCTAATGCGTCTAAAATTCTATGTAGCAGCGCCAGCTACCGTGCTTGAACGCGCACCGGAGCCTGGGCAGGCACCCAGGGTCGCCGGGCCTTGGGTCCGCCCACCCAAGTACCTGGCCAGCCTCACCAAGCGGTGCTTGCTGGCACGGGACCCGTCGCAGCGGCCGGTGTTCGCGTCCGACTGCCACGTCCTCCGCTACGTGAAGCGGTTCGTGGTCATGAACCCCCTTCCCGCGAGAAATTTTGATATACAACCCCAAATTCGCACGTCTCTCAACATTTCACCACCAATTCGTAAGCCTTGTAAAATATAACCGTGCACACGCTAATCCTTTTGATATTTGAGATTTCGGAGGTTCTCTTTTTTAAGTAATTTCAGAGGTCTCTTTTCACTGTTTAGGACACCAGAAAAGACCACGCTGCCGCTCCTCCTGATTCAACTGAGTTCACACCCTTCTCCGTATCGCTATCGCGACTCGCGAGTCGGAGCCGCGACCGCGACCTGGAGCGCTGCCGCCCGAGCTTGATCCCGCGCTCGCAGAAGCCCGCCGCCGTCCGGATCCCGCCGGGCCGGCGAACGCCGGGCGCCTCCTCCGCCTCGTCGTCCCCACCCCGGCAGCCGTTTCCATCGGAGTCCGCCCCAGCCGGCCCGTCCGCCCCGGCAGGCAGCAGCAAAAGCGAGATCACGAACAGAACCAACAGCTTATGCGACGTCCCATGGCTGCTGTTGCGTCGAGTGCCTGAAGGTTTGTTTCTTGGTTGATCGGCATCAGAGGCCAAAATCCAACTCCGAATCTCCCTCGCCAAGGATCAACAAAGGCACAAAGTACCAGAAGTCAGGAACAGAATAACGAATCACTTCAGCGGCCATTGATCGCTCACGCAGCGGCATCACCCCATGAAGCTACCCCGCATGCATGCTGTCGCTGCCGTTCACGCGGCTATGGGAGCGGTCATGATGCTCTTGCGGGCCGCACTTGCCTCCGGAGCACCCCGGCGTAGGCCACACGCGGCCACGATCACGGCCGTGCTCGGCGACGCCGTCGTCAGTGGAAGCTGCACCGCGCACGCGTGCACAGTCAGGGCCGCGCCGCCGGACTCGAGCCCTGCGTCACGGACGGCCGCGCGGCATCGGAATACACGAGGGTGGCCAGCCGGGGTTAGACGTGCCGGCCGGGGTGGACGGGATGGGTCTGGAGGCCGAGAGGCGGGTGGAGGAGGAGCAGCACGCCGGCCGGTGGCGGGCGACGGAGTCGCGGTCGCGGGCGACTCCCGACTCGTGCGAGTTGCGATAAGCTCGGGAGAGAAATAGGGGTATTTTCATCTTTCCCCATATCTCAAACAGCGAAAAAGCCCCTAAAAATACTAAAAGAGAAAAAATCTCAAAAATCCTAAATATCAAAATAATTCGCATGCATTGGGTTATATTTCAAAACACCTGCGAATTGGAGGTTAAATGTTGAGGGGCAAGCAAATTCGGTGTCAAATATCAAAATTTCTCCGCCCCCGCAGAGCAGCTGCACACGGCACCGCTGTCCGTGCTGACCGTAGACTACCTCCAAAGACAGATCAGCAGATGCATCATTTAAAAAGTTTATAGACTCGAAAAATTATTTTCATAGTTGATGGACCTAAGTAAAACATAGATAAAAGTTAATGGACCAGTGAATTATTAAACCTCATTTGGACAAATAGATATCGTGAAATATACATTTCGTTTTCAACCGCACTGTTAGCACATCTGCATGACAGCGAAAATATATCCATGTACATATAAAATAGAAATCCCATGGTTACCAGCAACAGTTCACTGATGCAACTCGATGCCATGTGCCTCATTCTGGCTTGGAATGCTGCTACTAGATACAGTGACAAAAACATGGATGCATAGCGTACTACTAGTACTAGCGAATAAGACACTGACAGGAGGAAACCTCCTACAAATTGTCAAATACCAAGAACCTTTGACATGAAAAAACAGTAACACAAATGAAAAAAGGTCACACAAATCTCTAAAAATGCGGGAGCTGTATCCTCCAAAACATCATTCAGCGATGCAATTCATGTCAGCGTTGCGGTTCTTTGTTTCGTTCTTAGGGGTGTTAGGGCTGTACAAGAAGATTAACAAAAGCAAGGCCTCAAAAGCACTGCACATTATCCTTTTGGATTAGGTGCTTACAGGGTCCCTGTTAGCATCAGTTCGCTCTCACAAGTAACTTGCCTAGCTGTTCATACAGATCATGCTGCTCCTCAAAGGTCAGATTCCGTAGTATCTGCATTGAAGGGTATGCTGTTCAGCACCTAGATATCTTTATGGAGCAAAGGAACTAAAGTTAGCATACAGGTATGGCAAAACCCAGATTACCTGCTCTAGCATAGTCTCAACAGATAAGTCCTGTACCATCACAAATGATTGGTAATAGATGTACGCGAAGACAGCCATGACCATCTGCAAGACATATTTTGGAGTTTCTCAGCCAAAAAAAAAGGAAAAAAGAAACACTACTGTAAACTACCAGATTTCACATTGCAAAGCAGACACAATTTTTTTTTTAACATAGTTGAATCTGAACTGCATGCAGCGAGAATGAGCATAACTACATACTTTTCCTAAGGTCTGGAATTGGCAGCAAAGCTATTTATGATCATGGATAAAGACACATTTTTTTTAATCACCGATTCACACTAAATATATTACAGAGAATAAACTAGAAGCAAACTAGAAGGTACATTCAGAGATCGATTTAACCCATTCAAAATCACCACTAACAAATGTGTGACCTTTTTGGAAACAGAACAGGTTAAAAGTACATACTTGGCAGTCCATCCTATCTGTAAATCCACCATGACCAGGTATGCTGTCCCCAAAATCCTGAATGTATAAACATAATGAGATTTTTGAGGGTGATATGTATTTCCAACAAATAATTCCAAACAAAATAAGCACCTTAAATTTGAATGCCCTCTTGAAGCCACTTGCGAAAAAGCCACCAAAGGGTGCTATTATTGAAGCAAACAAACCAAGAGCTAAGGCATGCCATTGAACAGGCATAACTGCAATTTCTCTCCATGGAAACTGCACAGTACCAATAAACTATTGGAGCAACAACTAGAACAGATGGAATGTAACCGTTTCCAATTGAGAATTTGAGTTAGGCTCGAATTGCTTGCTTACCCATTGTGGCATCCATCCTGGTAGATCGTAACTTTCTGGTGTAAACATAGGACCTGGGTCACAATGAAGCCATCCAGTTGATAAATCCTGTAGACAGAGTAATGAAATAAGGTAAGCTCAGTAAGCTCAGTACAAATACATTTACATCACATTTGAATGGGTTCTGTTCCATGACAAAGGAGGTAGTTACCACTGTTACAATTGCTCAATACACCATTGGGATGTCTATAATATATGGACCTGGGTCCCATATGTCAATGACAGAGCCGATGGGAAATACGGGATTGAGCAATTTTGCAACGGCAGGTGAAAAAATCATCCAAGAGGAACTATACCTTTCTTGGGCATGTCAACCACTGGAAATGGCCCATGAAATTAGCAAGCTGCCAAAACAGGAAAACTAAATTAATAATGCTAGACCCAATTATTTTAAAAAGTATTAGCAAACATACAAAATAAGACGTTTAAATGCACAATCTCGCTCACCAGTCAAAGTGTTTAAAACACACTACAATGAAATCATCACAGATTCATTCATTTGATAAGAGGATCAATAGTTGTTTTTCAAAGACACAAGATTTGGAGCTTTTTGTTCACCCTCAAGCATACATTTTTTCTGGCTAATAACTAATTTCATAGAAAGTATGCCCAATTGCAGTGCAGGAGACTGGGGCACCAACCAAACAACCCCCCACCATTTTCCAGCCCATGGGTGATAAAAAAAAACTGTTACAACAGGACATGCGGATATTGAAAATTTTACAATTTAGAAGTGTTCATAATTCAGATAAGCAGGCATCTCCAACATTTGCAGATAGAAGGCAACCAAAAAAACCATTGAACAAAGATATTTATGCACCACATATTTTGGTTACATGGACATTAGTTAGCAATAGAAAACAGATAATTTTAGAAGACCAGTAAGTATTTACTGACCACAAATGCAGAAAGCAATGTTGTCACTGATGCACCTATAAATCCTTCCCATGTTTTCTTTGGAGAGAGCTTGATCAGTGGTGTTTTCCCAAAGAAGAATCCAAAGAAATATGCAGCAACATCATTGATAGCAATTAACGAAGCTGGGAGGAGGAACCTACAAAAGCATCATCTTTATGTCAGCCTTACAACTAATCACATAGGGCCCAGTTGAATGCGGGACCTGAATCAGATTTCAAATAAATAGTAAGAACCCCCAGAGAAATGCACCCCCACCCCCCACCCAGCATCCAGGCATAGTTTAGCTGTCCAAGCTTTATCAATACCATCATGTATTTTGGCAAGTGCACAATCTCAACATGCTATGCAAAACTAAATGAAGATAAATGGAGTAAAGAAAAAATCAATAGGTATGAAGATCTTTAAAACGGATTGGTACAAAAGCAGATAAAATGCTTTTTCCCTCTTCTTTACACAAGATAAGTTGATGCTGCATTCCATTGGCACTTGAGAGGTCACAAGAATAAACAGAATAGCCTGTATTAATATTGTTTTGGATCCATACATAGTTACGAACATCACCGAATCATTCAGCTATTGCTTGGTACATGAACCCTTCGTACTTCTTGAAAGAACAATCACTCTTTAAACTAGTAACTTTGCAGCTAATCTCTTACAGGTCTCATTAAGTTTAAGTCAACAACAAAATTTTATGAGCAAAATTATTAGCACAAGCATAAAGTAGGAATTAGTACGCCCTCCAGTCATGAATACATGTCATAGATTGTTTTGTTTGTCCAAAATATCATGTATTCATGACTGTAGGATGTAAACAACATTTTAGGCTCCTAAGCTTATTCATAACTATGTCTCGTTCAAGCATAGCACTGGCATCCATATTATACTATCAGATCAAAGCATTAAAGCATGCTGTGAGATGCAAACTTACCAGAATATTCCATCAAAAATGTTTGCCACAGTGAAAGATGACTGGGCAAATACCATGAGAAGGATCATGTGAGTCCATGCATATTGACTGAACTGGTACTTGTATGCCTTTTTCTTTAGTGTGATAATAAACCAAACAAAACCTGGATAATAAATAAATTAGTATGGTGGCAACAAGCAAGCAATTTTCAAACTTTATGAGAATGCATTTGCATCATTTATTTGTAAACAACAGCTTAAGAATTTATGTGCTATAAAAGCTTAAGTGCTTAAGGACCCAAACTTAATGAGACCAACATAGAGGATTATATTGCATTGTACAGTCACATCATACACAACCTTCCCAACCACCATCACTCAATAAACATAATAAAACCACCTTTACTCAATAAACAAAATCAACTAAAACGAACATCCTGAACTGGAGAACAAGGGAAGATTTGATGGCACTACTTCTCCAGCCTACAGTTCTAAACACATCTACCAGGAAATGGACCAAATTTCCTTGACAGTCTGAACTCACTGAGTCCAAGGCCTGCCTATCAAACCAAGAACTAACAAAATATTGAAGTTCCTTATGCTGTAAGCTTGTACTTTTTCATGACCATTGTTTGGAGAAAAAATGAAATGGTCACAGTTACCTGCTATGTAGAGAAAGTAGCAAATAAACATCTGGTACTTGATGAGCCTGCTCACCAGCTTGTACAACAACTTATCTGAAGTCACCGTGTTAACAAGTTGACGGCTAAGGAAGCGGCCATAGGTAAACAACATCGCAGTAAAGAAAAAATGCCTGTCACATCACAGATTAAAATGTAAACGCCAGGTCATCCAATGCATCAATCAATCAGCCATATATCCTACCACCACCTCACCAGTTGAGCATCCTGAACCCTGGGAGCTGCCGGTCTTCATTGGCCTTCCGGAGAAGGTTGAAGAGCTCCTTGGCCATGAAGATTTGGACGACCACCACCATGGCCCAGATGTAGAGATGCCCCATATATATCAAGAACACAACCCCGGCCATCATCCACAGCGAGGAGTAGGTACGAACTAGCATCGACTTGTACTTGTTCTGATCGTTCAAGAGCAGGTTGGCGCCATTAGTCGTGTTCACGTCGCTGGGAACCTAAAAAATAGAATAACAACAAGGATGCGCAAAGATTGCAAGATGAGTCCTCCACCTCTAAAGCCAGGAACAGAGAGGCATTTCTCATTTCTGTATGGATAGGTAGAACAGATCACCTCGTTGGAGCGCTTCCGGTGCCTAAGGCGGCCACCGTGCGTCGGGCTCGGGGTGCCCGGCGTCCGGTCGCCGGCGCCGGTGTCCCTCTGCATTTCTTGCGCCCTGCAGCGTTCCTCCGAGCAAGCGTCGGTTAATTACCAAGAGAATGACAGATCGATCCAGGGCCTGCTGGGTGGGTCAATGGTCATGGGCAGACGGATCTCCACTCTGCAGCAGTTCAATGCCACTAGCGGGATAGGGGGACTGCGCCACTGGCGGATGTAGACTTGGATGCGAGGACGGCTGGGTTGTTATACGCCGTCGCCGGCGGTGAGGTCGCCGGCGGTGAGGCACAGCAAATGGTGGCGGGCTGGCGGCGGTAGGAGAGAGAGACAGAGAGACAGACAGAAAGAGACAGGGATCACCGTCCGAAGTCCGAACGGCAATTCGACAAACCCTGGGGTCCCCCCTCAATTGAGCGGCTTGCCAGTTTTGCCCCTGGACTGGATTCACGGCAAAACTGAAGACACGTTTTGAAATGGGCAATTTGAATTTGAATTTGAATTGAAATGGGCAATTTGAATTTGAACTAAGGATCTATATATTCGGGGATGCATTCAGCATTTGGAATGTGCGATATATTGCTAGCATTTGAAATTGAATATACGTTTAAGTCTTTATGTCATGGTAACAATACTTTGACATTTATCGCATATAGAAACACAAACTCAAGGATTGAAAATATGTTATTGCGCACACCTTTTTTTTTACCGAATCAGCAGGGGAACCTCCTACCTATTTTTTTCAATTAAATGAAAGAATGTTTATGTACACTGACCAAAGCTAGGAAGAAAAAAGCAAAAAGTACAAGGCAACTAGGCCCAAAAGCAAAAGATAGAAAAAATCAAGAGTAACTATCTCTCCAAAGACTAAGTGCAGCTTGTCTGATTGGCTTGGCTTTGGTGCATACCAAACCAAGTTCTTCTCTGAATTTCCTCTTCCATATGTTGATGTTAACCTGGCTATTGTCAAAGATCACTCCATTTCTTGTAGTCCAAATTATCCAGCAGGCAGTGATAACTATTTCTCTGAAAATTGCATTACCGAAGGCTTCTCTGTCTTGTAAGATCATGTCCAGAGGGCTCAAGTTCAGGTTCCAATTGATAGAAAGAGAAGACCAGCAATCTTGGCTGAAAAGGGCATTCAAAAAATAGATGAAAACAAGTTTCTTCACAGTCAAGATTGCACAGGACACGGTCATAACAATCCAAGAACATGTTCTTCCTCCTAAAAAGATTTCTGGTGTTTAGCCTATCTCGAAGAAGTAGCCAAAAGAAAAACTTGTGTTGTCCCAGGTTGCTTGAAGCCCACAGCCATCTGAAAAGAGGAGAAGCTGCAAAGTTGCCAATTAGTATCCCATATGCCTTCTTACTGCTGAATTTAGAAGAACCCCAAGTGTATCTCCATATATCATTCACCTCTTCATCCCAAGTTATGTCCTCCAACAAAATTTGAATTTCAAGCAACTGTGATGCTGCTAACTGTGATAGAGGTAAGCTGAACAATCTCTCTTCATCTTGGTGTAGGAAAAATTTTATGGAGCATTTAGGTTCCTTGTGAAGGAAAACAGTTGAGGGAACTGATCTTTCAGTACTTGACCAGACCAATTATCAGACCAGAAGAGAACATTAGAGCCTCTGCTTGGGGAACAAATAGCAAGTTTCTGAAACTTGCTGAATGACTTTAGGATGTCCTTCCACCAAAAAGAGCCAACTGGACATCTAGCCTGTGGTGGAACTTGATTATTAGAGTAAAAAGCAGCCCAAGTTAGAGAGACCCATGGTACATCAGAGTTATTAAAGAACTTGTCTAAGAATTTCATTAGTAATGCCTCATTCTGACTCTGAATATCTATAATGCCTAAACCTCCCTGATTCTTTGGTTTACATGCAACTTCCCAAGCAGCCAAACATCTCCCTTTTCTATTTATATCTCCTTTACTCCAAAGACAATGTTTTCGAAAGATATCAATCTGCTTTATAACTTGTGGAGGGAATTTCAGGCTACACATGTAAAAAGTAGGGAGTGTTGAAAAAACTGAATTTACCAGAATAAGTCTTCCATTGTAGGAAAGAAACTTGTTGATACCAAATAATCTTCTTTCAATTTTGGTAAGCAATGGGGTAAACTCAGCAAGAGTAGATTTTGTAGTTCCCAATGGCAACCCCAGGTATGTGAATGGCATATCACCAACTTTACAACTAAAAGTATTAGCTAAATGACTGGCTCTGCTAGCATTCATGTTGATAGGCACTAAAAAGGATTTTGAAAAATTGACATGTAGCCCTATGGAATCTGAAAATGACCTGAGCAGACCTTTGAGGTTGAAAAGAACTCTTGCATCACCAGGCAAAATAAGTAGTGTATCATCTACATATTGTATAATGGGATAATCACCAGCAAAAGAATCACTTAGTGGGTGTTTGATTACCCTAGAATGCCATGCTTTGTTGATGACAGATTGAAGCAGGTCAGCAGCCAAGACAAATAAAAGAGGGGAAAGAGGGTCCCCTTGCCTTACCCCTCTTCTACAAATAAAAGGTTTGCCTGGGTTTCCATTGAGAAGAATAGAAGATGTACCAGATTGCAACAAATTTTGGATCCAGTGAACCCACTTGATTGAAAAACCTTTATGCTGCAAAACCTGAAGGATGACTTGATGTTCAAGCTTATCAAAAGCTTTCTCAAAATCTAGTTTTAGAATGACAACTTCCTTCTTTGATTTATGGCAAAGGTGTAAAAACTGGAATGACCATGCTAAGCAATCTTGTATTGTTCTCCCTTTAATGAATCCATACTGATTGGTGTGGACTAACTATAGGATCACTTTCTGTAACCTTGTTGAAAGTATCTTTGTGATACATTTGAGGGAGTAGTTGAGCAGTGAAATTGGCCTGTAATCATCAACAGATTCTGGATTTTCTTTCTTAGGAATAAGGGCTATGAATGATGAGTTTATATTAGAAAGGTCAATATTGTGTTCACAGAAATCTTTGAATAGTCTAAAAGTGTCTTCCTTAATAATGTTCCAACATTTCTTTATGAAAAGACCATTGAAACCATCAGGACCAGGAGCATGACTATTTGGAAGATTTTTTATTACTTGTTCAATTTCAACATCGCTGAAAACTTCATCCAAATTTTCCAAGTTATGAACTGTTAGTAAGCTACTGAGGTCATAAGAAATGTTGGTGAATTCACTTACTCCCATTCTGTTCTTGTAGGCAGTCCATAGGAGATTGGCCTTTTGCTCATGGTCAAGGACAATAGAGCCATCTGCATTTGTTAGGGAGACTATGAAGTTTTTTTTGTGAGAGATAGTTGCCATAGTGTGAAAAAGTGGGTGTTCTCATCTCCCAGTTTGACCCACCTTACAGAGTTTCTTTGTTTCCAATAAATCCTCTTAGCTTCCAATAGAGATGCCAAATGATTTTTCACTAATGTCCTGAAGGCAGATTCAAGATTGGACAAACTTCTTTGATCCTCTAGTCCATCTAGTAGGAGCAATACCCAGTGATAGTTATATATGAGTTTACTTAGGTTAGACAATTTTTTGCTCCAAATCTTGAGCCCTGCTCTGACCTGCTTGAATTTGGCTGACAGGTGTTACGGCCTCGGGATCTCAGGGCATAGGGGTGTGAGGAGGAAGGCCGAGCTTGGTTTCCCGGCGGCGGGTCGGTGGCGCCGTGCTCGGCGCCTGGATTGCCGGACCATGAACAGTAACCCGAACAGGGCAGTGCCAAAGAGCAAGAGAGGGTAATCTCAATCCTCTGGCTAATCTTTATTAAGCACAAATATTCAATACTTATACTCCAATCCTAACAACTTTCAGCTAATGCAAAGGGATAACAACCAAGCCGACTCATATCCTGAATACTCTCCTAAACTCTAGGATCTAGCAATCGACGCCTAACCGACGTCAGTGGCGTGCCGTGGCGATGGTGACCAGCTGCCTGGCCCGGCTCGGTGCCTTGGCCCGTCCACTTCTCACCATCGGCCTTCTTCTTCCTTATGTAGACGTTGCCCACCATAACATCTCTCCCCCCTCGGAAACAGCTTGTCCTCGAGCCGGAAGGAGGGTCTTGCGGTGTGAAGGCGTCCATCGGTTCCCAAGTAGCCCGGGGCGGCATGTTCGCCCACTCGACCAGAATGTGCCAAGCTCCACGCCGGAGGCTGGAGCGCAAGACACGTTCTGGCTGCTACAAAAGACGACCGTGTTGAAGAGGTGGCAGAGGTGGGGTAGACGTCGGAGGATCCCCACGGAACGGCTTCAAGACTCCCACATGGAACACATCATGGACACGTGCACCCTCCGGTAGGTGGAGCCGGTAGGCCACCGTGCCGATGCGCTCCAACACTTGATAGGGCCCAGCATACTTGGGTCCAAGCTTGCTGCGGCTGCTAGGAACAAGTGACTGGGTAGGGCGATGCAGCATCCGAAGCCACACCTAGTCACCCACGGAGAACTCCAGTGTGCGATGATGAGCGTCGTAGTGCCGACGGGCGTACTCCTGTGCCTAGAGCAAGCGAGCACGGACCTCCTGGAGAAACTCGTCGCTGCTGGACAGTAGGGCGTCGACGGTGTCTATGCGCGCGGAGCCCGGCTCATAGGGCAACAACACTGGTGGAGCCCGGCCATAGACCACCGTGAACGGCGTTGTGCGGAGTGCCGAGTGGAATGCCGTGTTGTAGCAGTACTCCGCCCACGGAAGCCAGTTGTCGGATACCATAAAAAGGGGTACCCTAAGCAAGAACCGAAAAGATCGCTTAAAACCTCGCAAATATCAAAGCCAAAGGACAATCACAGGGTCTCGGCCGATTCTCCGACTCGCCCGAAGCCCGCGTCGCAATGACTCTCCGCCTCGCCGAGGCCCTCTCGTGCCGAGGCCCCGCTCTGCAAGGCCTCGGACGGGTTACCGATTCTCCGATTCGCCCGAGGCCCCGCGAGTGAAGCCTCGAACGAAGTACCGATTCTCCGACTCGCTCGAGGCCGGCTCGGCAACAACCTCGTCGCCTCCGCCTCGACCAACTTCTCTGACAAAACGTCACACGA